AGGTTCCTCAGATTAATTAACTATCCTGATATAGGCCTATATCATGTAATCTATCTCAAAACCCCTGTGACCTCATTCTTAACTCACAAACAATATAATATCCATCCATCAAGGTTCTATTACCTTAATGTTTGATGCAAAATCATAAAACAATCTAACGACTAATCCATTTATATTTATGGCGTATTTCTATCTTCCAATAAAACATTTCGCTTGCCCTATTCCTTCCTGTCCTCACGCAACCTGCTAGGAAATTGTAAGGAATTTCTTCAGTGTACAAAGGGATCTACAGTCCGTATTATTCATTGTGGCCTCTGGCCGGCGTGTTAGGGGAATGTAGGGGAAAGTTGTGGGGGGAATTTTCTCAGGGGCAACGTACTTCACTGCAGCACGCTAATCAGCAACTACTATTCTAATGAAAAACATCTATCATACGAGAAAATCCCTGCTAGGAATTCGATATACGCGCATGCGCAAGATTTCGCGGTGAGTGACGACCCATCCTAAAAACATTCGTTCCACAACCACTGAACGAACAACAGACGACAGGCTTTCACGTGTTCTGATGGGTACAGCTTTAAGATTACCTCACAGCGGCACAGCGATTTAATCTAGAATATTATCACAACACCCACAGAACACATTTGAGATGCACCCACTACACGCTACTCTTAACTGCTTGATGTTTTCAGTCTGTGTAGTAGCGTAAAACTCTGACGTATCACACTTCCCACCAATAGCAGCCCTCTAGTCCAGCTGATAAGGAACATTCCCCCCGCACCGACTAGAAACGACTTCCCCCAGCAGGGTTTTTCTCCTGGTCTGTGGACAGTGCCTCACGCTCCGGCCGAGGAAAGACTTAGGCAATCATTTAAAAAGACTCTAGGACGGTCTCAAAGCCAGTCTAGTGACGTGCTGAAGACAAAAGGTCACAGTCCAACAGTCCCGCTGGTGCATCAGGGCACTGAAATCGGACGTTTCGAAGTGACCGTACACTAAACTACTCAATTCAATTTACATAAATTTCATTTGTAAGAAAGTGGCACAGTCTGCTTCCTGTGTTTCAAGGAGTAAAATCTCGAAGCATCAATAAAATAAAAAGAAAGAAGGAAATGTGGATCTAATGTTAATTCTGTGACAGCAGCGCCGTGAGGTCTTAGATAGAAGACACCAATATTTTGGATAAACAAACTTGTCTCATTCCCAGAGCTGAAGATGGAGGTCGTATTCGCCTCCGAAACGCTTAGTTTCTACGTACAAACCCACATGGTTTTACAGCAAACAATGAAAATAAAATATATTTTTGTTCTCTCTGTCCCTTCAATCTGCACAGTCTTAGTAATTTTCGGAGTTCAATTTTTAAAGCATTTGTCATCTGAGATGTTTTCTTCTCGCACAAGAGAGCAGAGTGCTTACAGCTCTGTTCGGCGGTAGAACCAAAGAAAGACAAAGGATTAATTGCAGATAAGAACGTTCTAAACCTTTCTCTTGTTATCCCAGAACACTTCTGCCTTTTTGTTTTACCCCAGAGAATTGCAGGAGATTCAGGAGAGAGAGGATAAAACCATAGCCTACGTGGTATTTCTACGATCGTGAGAGAAAGTGTTTTGGACAAATCCTTTGCGCTACTCGAAACCTCTCTTGGCTACCCCGTATGTCTGTTAGGTTGACAATCCTCGTACACAGCGATTAGTGTTTATAGATTCAATGTTTATTAAGAATCCACTACATTTATCGATCTTAATTAGTTACTTTCATATAGTTCTGTTTAAGTGTTCGAGATATGACATGATTTGTAAATACATTTTCTGTTTATACAATATGTATACAAATAAGTTGTCGTCAAAGTGGCCGCGTGGTCACTGGGACCGTGGGTTCGAATCCCGGATGTTTGTCCGCGTTTTTCTGTGTTGTGTTGTCCTGTGTAAAGATAGAGGCCTTGCGACGGGCCGATCCCTCGTCCAGGGAGTCCCAACAACTGTCTAATAGATCAAAGCCAACGAAAAGTTGTCATCTTACTCTCATAAGTTTTAGATATTAAAGGCAGAATAAATCACGTTTAAGGTTACAAAAATTTCGTGGCCACCAATCTGACCTGACTTAAAGTCTTTCCGATTATTTTCTGTAAAGGTATTGGAAGGATACGGTTTTTCACAAAATTCTACACGCAATTCTATAGCTGAAAATTGTTATAGAGTCAGAGAATGAAGCTATAACCAAATTACTAAAAATTCTGTGCTACGTTATCTTCGGAGACATAACATGGAAAATATTTTAGAGTAACAAACAAATTATTCAAGCGTGTAGAAATATATGTAAAATTGTTTTAATGTTCCGATACATAATAAAGACGTTTTAAAGCGTCAGGTCATGTACGTGTGCCGGAAATGTAAGTTCACAAATAATAAATAGGCCGAGCAGTTTTCAAAACCAGCAGCGTTCTCTGTAGCAGGTAAAGGACATGTCTGAGTGAAGATGATAATGATTGTGGTTGTGATACTGACAGATTCTGTAGAAATCTGCTTCAGTTAGTTTTGGGTTAACAGTCTACTCGCGGAGTATATATTTCCTTCGTAAAACTAAGTATTCAAAACTCTGCACCGCTCGTTTTATAATTTGAGTGGCCGATATTTGAAAAGTTACAAAGTTCCCCTTCATTTTCATTTTGCCAATACAAATCAGGTTCTAACTCCATAACTTACAACTACATTACACGGCTAAGACATGTAATTGGTTGAAATTTGAACACATGCACATGGATTCCATCAAACAAAGAAAATTTCGACTTTATCTTTACATCATCTAGTCCAGCGGTAATTAAATAAATTACATTACTGATTATTCAGTGTTTATCATAAAATAATACAATCTTTTTAAAAAAAAATTTCACGTACCCCCTAAGATGTCTTCGCGTACCCCCAGATATAATTTATCTTCAACTTTGTACCCCCAAAGTTGTTGGTGTATAATTTCAGTTATACATAGTATATAATCTACATATAAAATAAATTAAATAAATTACATTACTGATTATTCAGTGTTTATCATAAATAATATTTTTTTTTTAAATTTCACGTACCCCCTAAGATGTCTTCGCGTACCCCCGGGGGTACGCGTACCCCCAGGTTGTATACCACTGATCTAGCCAAGGCTGTACCCAACACGGAATCAAATTATCCGCAACAGAAATTAATTCAGCTAAATTAGACAGCATAACTGAAGACTGAATTATTTATCAAAAGACTTCATTTGCATACATATTAGTAACGTTGCATGAGCCTACTGTTTCTAAGAGCTGTAGCAGACGTTGACTACAGCTTCAGCTGTGATATGAATTTTTAGATTTCTGTGTAAGATATTGTACATGGAACAGAGAACAGGTGGGCAGAACAGAAACCAGTTTTTCCAAGGCCAATGAAAAGATAACGTCATTTGTGTACTGCTTCCATAATAGTAAGCCTATTCTATAAACAGCGGTACTGAATACTACAGTCATGTTGTAAGCTGCTTTAACAATGAAGTAAAGAGTGTGTTTAATGGGCCAGAAGCGATCCACAGTACGAACCTTGACAATGTTTCACTTTCTGATGTACTATACTATATTATAATTCTATCCACATGAAAACGAGGCTGACATCAAATTAGGACAAGTTTTATATTAAACATTTTGCTGCTGTCATATTTTGAGAAACGTACATGAGCTAATACACCACTGTCAATGTTTAAACGTTTAACGAATAAAGATGATTGTAATATTTTGTAAGCATTAAACTAAAATGTGTTTCAACATTATAAAATATCACATATCAAACGATTAAAGATGGTATGACTTACTGTTTTCCTGCTTTATGAAGAAATTCTCGATCAGGTCCTGTTACAACTTCTAATGTGCACAAACAACTGTACTGCAACTGAAAATGCTCGTGTGGGTTTACAGTCTTACGAACAACTTCTAATGTGCACAAACAACTGTATTGCAACTGAAAATGCTCGTGATAGCGTTGATATTTGTTTCACTACAGAATTCAAAGCAACATAACCTGTAAATAACTTACTACTAGCGAGATGCTTTCCACTTCCTCTTGCTTGCGGTGTCTTCCACCGGGAGCGCTAGTTTGAACTCAGTGCACGTTGTTAAATAGTTTACATATTTCGTGCTATGTGGCAGCACATCTCAGCGGCAATGATACATCAAATTAATTCAAAGAGTTTATTAAACTTGAAGATGATTGTCTTTAGCGATGTTGCTTCGTGTACAGTAGTCTGGTTGACGTTTACAGACGTTTCGGAGATGCTTGTTGCCTCAAAACATTATCCAACATGTCGCTCACGGAAATTTTTTACGAAAATCGGTAATCTGTTTGAACATTTTGAACGTTGGGATCCATGAATGCAATTAAATCATAGAAAATAACAAAATCAGGTTTGAAAGATTACAAATTTAATAGTAACATATCGGAAATTACACTGGGTTCTTTCAAATAAAATTTGATTTATTGCAAACACTATTACAAATTTCCCTCGATAAATTATGAAATATATCGTAATGTTAATATTGTTTTTTTTGTGTAACTTAAAATTAATGAAAGTCGATTGGGTAAGCTGTCAAGATGGTTGTGCAAGATAGTCGCGAAAACACCAAGCTACTGAATTTGAACGTAACAAAAGTTTTGAGAATTAAAAAGATTGTTTTAAATTAAATTTTTGCAAATATAAAATAAAACTGTATAAATCGTATTATAGAAACTTCTTTGTTATGCCTAAAGATTCTAGTCGCTGTGAGGTTGTCCTTCGTGGTCTTCCGGTCTCCTGGCCCTGAAGACGTAGGTCATATTATCCTCCGAAACATTAGTAATCTCCTACAACGCCACACGACGTCACAACCCAGACACCCACGGTAAACGGTGTTAGCAGATGTCAGTAAAACGATAAATTATGTTCTTCAACTTAAATCTGTCTAAACTATAGTGAAGAATTTCTGAACGCCATAATCTTCCTGTCAAAATTACATTTTGATTATGAGTGTAAAATTATATTCAACGTCGATTGAACAGCTACACTCCAGAGCTGTTAGCACACGATAGAAGTTTTGATTTCATTGAAATATTCACAGTTCTTTGTTACAAACAAACTTCTGATAAAACCCGATACTTACTTTTCTACAAAAGACTGTATTTGTATTTTGTCGCAAATGTCAAATTAATTATGCAGTAGCCTACGAATATTACGTTTTATGAGTTGTAACACCTGCAGACTTGTAAGTAGATACAATCATTTCGGTTGTACATGCTGCCCCCATCTTCAGGGGTTACTTCAGCCTTGAATATAAAGTCAGTATATTCCTCCGAAACGTCGGTATTTACCTGCAAGTTCAAAGAGTGTTGTAATCTAGAAGGCCAATACAGACACCTTCATTGCCGACTGAACATCAGACCTCATACATGTAGAGATTTTCTTTATTAAATAGAACAGACGTGCATTTGATTTGGACGAAAATATAAAACAAATTGTGCATGCGGGAATGTCTCAAGTGACTGAGAAGAAACGTGTAATTTTGAAGAGAATAACTGAATTATTATACTGCACCAGGTAGAGTACAATACCCCAAGCATCACAAGTTTCTGTAATAATATTTTAGACGTCAGTCTTAGTTCCCCTTTCAAACATTAACGAACGAAAATTTCATTAATCATCTTAGACTCTCAATTGTGTGTGTTCACTTCGTATGCTTCATCGTGGAACAAGTCACGACGAGGTGTGTACGGCCGCGTTGTAAGAAAGACGCGAGTAGCTGGAACTCCGGAAGATTGGGGTAAGAGAGATGACTAACAGAACAAAGGCGTCTGAGGAACTCATCAGTAACTTTTGGTGTTGTTAAGACAACAAGTATCTTCAAAACGCAATTGCGTGAGACACATTAGACTATTTTAATGGGAACTCGAAACTATCTTTATTTTCTCTAGTGCACCAACAAATCGTGGCATGTCATTATAAGAAATGATCCACAATCAATACCCAGAATGCAACTGTGGATCATATGCAATGTTTCATAATGTACTGAGAAATTAATATCAAAATAAAATTTAAATGACGATAACTGGTCTTCGGTGAATAGTTGTACAGATTATGCCAAAGGGGAAAATAATTATTTTTAATTCAGATTTTTTTAAAACCTTTCTCTTACGACGATCCGAAACTAGTTTCTTTATCCCACGTACTAAACTCCGCAGAAACCTGGTTCTCAATGGTATTCTGGGCTGGAACGCCGGGTGGACTCCTACAAGACACCCGCTTCGGAGGAACATACTAATCCATCTTCAGGGCTGAAGTATTTTTCCTACGAAATGGTGGTATCTACCTACAATTCCACTCAAGTGTTACAACCCAGAACACCAACACCGAAATTTTCACAGCGCACAGTATCTCAAATGATAATTGATAAAATATTAAAAAAAATGACAGAGTTTGAGAAAACATGTCACGCGGAAATTGCATTGGATGGAGGTATTGTCACTTTCCTGGCAGGTCTATGCTCCGTGGTCTGAAATTACACGAATAATTCACTAGGTCATAGGTTCCCAAACTTTTATACCTTGTGTCCCCCTTTAAAAATTTCATAAATTGCACGCCCCCCCTTCCAGAACAAGTGCAAGCAAACAGATTTGACATAAAATTTAGCTATGAGTATACATTATTTTATAATTTAGTATATATTATTCAATGCATTTAATTTAAAAATTGTAATAAATTATACGCTTCATTCCTGGATTAGTAGGATGGATGTGGTCGCTTCTGTGAACGTAACTTATACCGAGGTTGGAGTTTTGAAATTGACGCTCTAAGGTTGTATTCAAGGTTCATCGTAGAACGATGCTTTGTTTTGATGGCAGCCAATGCTGAACTGCCTGAATCAAGCGAAGGATGTTAGAAATGTTTCTCCTGTGGACTAGATTAAGTTTTAATTCCATAAAGGGGAGGATTTTCTAGAAAACTCTATTCCATGAAATGATTATGTTCTGATAAACCTCATGTATGTAAAAATATGTTACGAAGATATAGTATTTCTGTTTGGCGTAGATTTATAGGCGACTAATTCGAATTCAACAGAATTTTCACCACCTCTGATTTACATATGCTCTCGAACATCCTGGATCCAATAAAAATCTCAACTGTACAAGACGTCTTCAGCTTTTTAACAACGAAAATGACTCTTCATGATCTCAAGTAAATGATAATAAAAGTAATAACAAGTGTTTGGAAATATCTTTTTATTATTTTTATTTTGGAATTCTCAAATTTAAAGAGAGTTATGTACAAAAGAAATTATATACAGTTATCATATCAGCTGTGAATACAATGAGTCTTAAAATTTCAGTTTCGCACTCTTATTCAGACACACACATACAAACATACATACATAATATGAACAAGCACTACACACATACAAACATACATACATAATACGCACAAGCACTCCCAACAATTTTCATCATGCCTATAAACCTCGCTACCATGACAATAATCAGACAAAACAACATCCATATCACTGTATTCAGCTCACATTATTTGAAGAAACGTAAAGGACGTAAATTACAACAAATTTAAAACCGGATAATCGCGTCTATTTCAGTACGCGACGTCCCAATAGTCGCGATCGAACGTTGTAGATTATCAGAAAGGGTTTTTATGTTGTATTTAATATCAGAATCTCTCCATTTAAGGTTTTCTTGTCTGCGTAGTTCTAATCGAAAAAGAAAAGATGAATTTATACGCTTCTCCAAGAACATCTACTTGGCACAGGAAAAGATTGATTAAGCAGAAACATTGAACGTATGAGAATTGCTATAGCCTAATTTTCAAGTTACTGACTTCAATGCCCTAAAAATTAAAATACCTAACTATTAAAGTAGTAATACTGTAAGTTATTAAATTAAAATGTTCATTGAAAATATGTAAGCATAATACACATGAATTAATTACAAAGGCGTTATGTGTTACTGTAGTTCGGGACGTTCATTTTGGATGTAATTAATATGAGAGTGAGTTACACTCCCATCGTAATAAAATCGGCCCGGCCATGACGTGTGTTCGCCTTACGGCTTCCTTTTTTCAGAAAACTTACCGCACCTTCGTAAAATGTACTCATGATAGTGCGTTAAGAATTGAAAATAAATGTTTACATTTCTTTGTCATCAGAAAAGAAACACAACGAAAATATTTAAATTGCAGTAAGTGAAATGTTTTGATTTTTAGGTTCATTAATAAACATTCATACTACAGTTCTATACATTAACGACCCCTGTACCTAGGTCGTATATATTGAAACTAAATTATAAACACGTTGTCCTTCATTAAATTAAGAACAGTTACTTAACAACGGACTAAACTTATTTTTCCCTTCACAAATATAAATTTCTGAATATATTTAGAATGCATATTTTTAGGACCTGAGCTGGCTTATATAAAATACATTACATCGCTGATACAAAAAGGATAAGCATTTGACTGGACATTTGAAAAATTCTCGAAGAACATTTTGCAGACATTTTTACAAGGTTTTATCTCTTGGACAATAAAAATGAAAATCAGGATTGTTTTTTTTCCAGTGGCGGCTCGTAGTTACAAATGAGACTCAAATCTGTAACATAAAGTAAATTGTTTTACGTAAGGAGAGTGTTAATTTCATCTTTATCGATGTTGCACAAATTTAAAATCGCCTAAGGCATTTTCAACATAATACTTCAAGTACTTATATTACAGACTTAAGCAAGAACTTCACAGTTCTCAGCGAAAAAAGATATTCCTAAGTACTGATACTAAAAAATTAGCAATTGTAATATTCATATGAAACTCAGTTCTAACAACACTACTTCCAAAACACAATCTAACTAATATGATCACATTTTTCATGTCTAAACAGCAAG